CTGCCCAGTCATAATAAATCACCACCCACTCAGAGCAGCACACAGAGAAAGTGATCCATTCTTGCAGAGCAATTTCCTCAGCTACTATTTAAGAACTCCTTCAGCAAAGGCATGAATAAATAATACAGCTGGAAATACCTGTCAAGCAGCAAGATGTTTCATGCTACTGTACCTACAGCAACTCTATCCAACCAAGTTAAAAACAGGCATTATTTGTCCGCAGGTCTGACACCACACTACAGTCTCGTTTTACGGAAAAAAGGAGGAACCCACAGGCAACATGGACACACGCTCTGGAACGAGACATTGCTGTCCCCAGCCCCGCTGTGCCCGAGGATTACAGCTCCGTAACCCCAGAAACGCCTGTGAAGATGGAACTGCTGGTCACATCCTTCGACACCGTCCTCACGGTCGCAGCGGGCGGGTGTCCCTGACCTCCACTCCCCCACTCCCGCTACGCTGCGGCCAGGGAAGCGGCCAAGCCGCCACCTCCCTGGGTGGCCAGAGCAGCTGAGCCCCCCGCAAACCCTGCCTAGGGGGATAGGGATCCCTTCACTTTCCCCTCGCCTCCCCAAGCAGCGGTAACATCGCTGCCAGACCTCTCCTCGAGGTACTTCGACCTCCGCCGCCCTCCCGACTCCTCGCCCGCCCTCACTTGCGGCTCCCTCCTCAGCCCCCACCAGCCGCGGCCCGGCCTCGCCCCTCACATCCTGCCCCAGGGGTCTCACTTCCATCCCAGCGCCGGACTGGCCCTCCGCGGTCCCGCCGAGCGGCCGCCGGCCGCCCTGTGCCCGTTGCCGCTCCAGGGCCGCCGCGCAACCGAGCCCCCTCAGCCGCTGCCCCAGCAGTTGCTCAACCCGCACCGGTCTCTGGAGCGCACCACCACACACACGCCCAGAGGAACAGCTCCTCCCTCCTCCCGGCTCCGGACTCCCACCGCCGCCGCCAGGTCCCCGCACGCCGGGGCTGCCCCGGCTGCACCGCAGTCCCGGCTGCACCGCAAGCTCCTCACCTGCATGGACGCCATGATGGATCCTCCCCTCTGCGCCGCCAGACCGGACCCACGGAGACGCAGCGCCGCGCGACCGTCCCCTCCCCGGTCACGTGCCCTTGCCGCCGGCCCGAGAGGCTGCGCATGCGCAGGGACAGGGCTGTGGGGACAGCGGTGCGCGGGCGGGTGCTCCCTCTGAGGGGCCGCAGCTATGGGCCTATGGGAGGTGCCTCGTTACGCCCATCGAGGGGCTTTTGCTGTCCGCAGGATGCACGCCCGGCGGCGAGAAGGGAGTCCTATGTCTCCGCGGTGGAGGGGGCATTGGCGCCGGCCATCAGCGCCGCCGCTGGGAGGGAGAGGGTTTACCCCCCGACCGATCTTTCTCTTTGTAAAGGTTTTTAGCTGGGCAGTCCAGACTGTTTAGAGAACGTTGGTGATGGCGGCTGTGGCCGTCTGTAGGTTTCTCTGGGCTGTGGGAGAAGGCCTGCCTGCGGCTCGCGCTGAGGGACAGTTCTCGTGAGGGGAGACGTGTCTCTGTGGCAGTCTGCCACAGGTCAGCAGATGGACTGATTTTTCTACACTGGTGGTCCGGGGACCAAATTAGCATGGGTGTATTTCAGAGAGAAGTTTTTTGGATTCCACGTTTTCCTTTCTTGGTCTGGAATGTCTACTGTCTTTTGTACCACATGATTGTGGTAACTGTGTAGGTGAAAGTAAACAAGCACCAGTCACTAGAAGCGACCTGCATGCAATCAATAAGTTAAGCAACTTGTGGAAACACTTTGTCATAAAGCAGTTGTTCCAGGTATAGTATTGCAAACCTAAGGGATCCTCAAACACAATTTTTTTTCCAAAGATAAACCTATAAAAATCATAATCTAGTGGATATATAATATCAGGGGGGGTAATAAAGATACTGATTTTATAGGTCATTATAATTTCCATCTACTCCCTACTTTGGCTCACATTCAAAAAGCAACATCGGAGTACCATTCTCTGCTCCTTCATACCCACACTTCATGATGATAAAGAATCCCCTTGTGTTCCCTCTGCTCCATTGGCAGCACCTGATTTTTCCCTCAGAGATGGCCTAATTTGTACACATCCAATGAACTTATCAGACATTTGGTTTCAGTTTGTATTTACTTTTGAAATCTGATTTTTTAATTTTAGACCTCAAGACGGCCTGTGCATCTGAAAGCCTGCCTACTTTCTTTAACCTTACTATTTGGCATGACAAGATACTGCTTCAACCTACAGCTTTACCTTCCGGTGTATTTTTATGTATCCTCAACTTTGAAAACTGCTAACTGGAGGAAAACATGAACCCAGCACAACAAAGCATCAGTTTTCAATTTGTATCCAGTGTCATCAGTATTGCTGATGTCAAAGTGAGCACACCAACTTCTGGGGCTTGTTTAAAGGGGTGAACAAAAGGCGGCAGCAGCACCTTTGCCCTGTGAGGCAACTGCCAAAGGAAGAAAGCCTCTTGGCTTTATGGGAAATTGCTGGTGACAGAATTGAGTGTGTGTTGATTTCTGAGTGGGAAAGGAGACTAGCATGCCCCAAGTAAGGACAGAAAAATGATTGCCACGTAAACCAAATCCTATACTTTTTGTTCTCTAAATTCAGCTTCAATTCTCAGTCACAAAATATGAGCTACTGGTGCTGTGCAACCTGGCACTACTCTACCAACTCCATTTAAATAACATTTAAGTCAGAAAGCTCTGTGTGTTTTCAAGTCAGTATTTACGCATGATATCATTTTGCAAAACTATTTAGGTTGCAGATTTATTACATTAAGTAAACAGTTAGATTAGACCTAGTAGTTTTTTTCCCCCTGCAGTTCTTTGAAGTAACTTAGGCATTAAATGGAATGTCGCTATTTCTGTTTTACTAGATGTTGCTGTTTTGCATGAACCAAATATATGTTTATCCTAAAATAAGTTTCTTAATGCCATATGCCACAAAGATAACAGGAACATCAAGTTTAAGCAATGGACATGTGTTCAGTTGTAAACTTGGACATATTGACTATCCGTGTTGATGTAATCACAGTGAGATAAACCTAATTTCAATCCAGTATATTCAGTTTCTTAACCATGTTCCAGAAAACCCTTGTTGAAGGTCAGAAGATATGAAAAGGCATAAGCTTATAAATGCCAGGACACTTTGTAGGCTGCAAGCTGGTTTTGCATGGAAAGATCAGCTTTGTAGTCTTAAGTGAACTGCAATTGGTATAAATATGACTTATACTCTATAATAAGGGAAAAAATATCTCTGGACAAAAAACCACATTAACAGAAAATCATAGCATTTAACTGTCCTTACGTTCAAGAAGACTTTTTTCCTATCACACAGAGGTTTGCAGTGTTAAAAACAAGGCACCATATTCTGAACTAAAATATTGTTTACTTAGATATAGCTTCAGGTGTGCTGCAAATTCCATTCCTGAAGATAGTGAGCATGAAAAGCAAGGGGCAGCTTGCCCTGCACACAAATAGAGTACAAATTAATTACTACCCACCCTGTCTTAACTGGGTATGTAAGAAACTAAAGCATTACTTTGTAGCTGAAACTCCTGACCAGAATCCCATCCCTAAATTCACCTTGAGTCGAGTGTATTCTTACAGGACTACCAGTGGTGTATTTTATCACTGTTGTCACATCTTTGTTTTTTAAAGTGTTGCACAATTGCCTAATATGTATGTGCAACATTTTTCGCTCTTCGTCATCATGGGAATAGGTGCAGCTGGAGAATTTTCCCTGTGTTTTATTGTTTTGTTGATTATTTTTGTTTTTCCCTTTTCTCATTTCCTGGTAACCTGGCTTTCAGACAATGCTTTTTAGTAAGTGTTTTTGTGTGGTGCATAATGCTCTAGGGATTCAATCTCCCAAGCACAGTAAGAAAACAAACACTGTTAGCAGACTCCCAGAGAGAATTTATGTGAATGTCAGTATGTTCTTACTTAAATACAGTTCCATTCTTGATTTTGCGGTAGCTCATAATATTATTTGTTCTCACTTTCCCAGTAATCTCAGCAATGAAGGGCCCAAAATCCAAAAGTGGGTAGATTTCACAAGGAATCAGTTATATTGTAATGTGCTGTTTATTTCGGTGTTGACGTTTACCTATGCAAAATGTAGAAAAACACTTGCAGTTAATCCTTCCAAATCTGTTGCAGGTGGAGGGGTAGCCAATGCATTAGCTGTTTGGTTTTTAAAAAAGAAAGCTTTAGTCTTTGGCTAATGCAGCCTGATCCTGCATCAGTCAATCTAAATTTTGTCAGATACTTCAAGGGTCAGAGCCCTAGGTCCCAAATACTCCAAACTTCAGGGGTAAGAGGAATTTCTTCTGTTATTTTCATCATTTTGGAAGCTATCTTGCAGTGATCTGATCAAATACATGACTATGACTTACATATCAAAACCATATAAAGCAGATAATGAAAATTGTACCTCCTAGAAAAATTGTTTCTATAAATATTCATGAATTTGATCTAAAAATCCCCTTTTCTTCAGAGTTTGCATTACCTTGCGTTTACAAGAAATACGCAACTACTGTTCAAACTACATTTATTAGGTAATTGATCTATCTGGGCAGTTTCACAAAGGTCAAGTATGTTTCTTGATTAGGGTCTCTATAATTTTATATTCCATCCCCTGTGTTATCCATAATGTTTCCAAACATTACCAGGCATTTTTTCTCTCCATTCTCCCTATTTTTAACTCCTGTATATCATTTTTCTACATACTCAACTATCACTGCCTGCTTCTTTACAATTTCTGCCACTGTAATAACTCAGGGGATTGATTTATTTTGTTTGTGTCCACTAGTTTTTAGCTTTCCATTTTGGCTCCTTCTAAGGAGGAATTCAACTGTACGTTCACATTCACCTCCCCATATTACTCGAGTGGCATAGCAACGGTTAACCTGCAGTGCCAGGAGACAGCCTCTCACAAGTGAGTGTGGAGGACTCCCTGCTTCTCACAGGAATTGTCAACTGCTTCTTCTACTCTTGCCTGCCAGTGAAGGAGTCTAAAAAGTCTGTGGAACGGAGACCTAATGGCAAACACAAATGTGATGCACCTGCATCTAAAGGTGTAGAATCAAACCAAGACAAGGTTTTACCAAGAATATCAAAGAAATAAATTGCATACATATCTAAAAATGAAAAACATACCCCAAATTTGCAAAATACCTTTGAGCTGTTGAGATTTTATTGTTTTATTCCTCAGTGATAATGTAGGTTTTTCATCAATGACATACTCCATTTTCATCTTGGTTGAAAATAGTAACAGGCAGATTACCACTTCCATCCCAGGACTTTCAAAGGCACAAAAGGAGGCTAAGGAAAAGAGGAGTTTCACCTTATTCCTGATCCACTGGATGTGCAGTGCCTGCACAAAGAGGGTAATACTGGTTTTGGATGTCATATGCTTCCATTTCTTCTCTTGTCTAGGATTTGACAGTTTTGCAGCCACTGTGTGATGTGTGAATTTCAGCTTATCCACAGAAGACTAAACTACAAAAATAATTTTCCATCAGATCAGAAAAAGAGTCTGTCTTAGTATGTGGTCCCATAGTTGTTATAATTTCTGCAGAGGAAGAAGGAGGGCATGTGGCTAGGGGAAGGAGTGGAAATGCCTGTTTTAGTAATATGCCATAATTACCAATTTGTAGTAATTGTCAAGCCATGTTTTTTGGCACCAGTAGTTCGCTAACTCATTTAAATGCTCTAAAGATAAATATCTATAAAGATAAAATCTGTAAAAAATTAAAATAATGAGGATTGTGTAGGACCTATATTCATTTAAATAGATGGATGCATTAAAAAGTGCTAAGTTATGTAATTATTAAAAGTTCTTCCACATTAAAAACATCCTTTTCTGGAGCCCGTGTGAGGAAGTTGATTAGTCTCCATCAAATAACAAAGGGTTCAGATGCTGTTCAGTGATAATACCTGTAAGATTCAAATACAATTATCATTTAGTAGTTTCATTTTAACACTAAAGACTTTGCACTGCAGGCTTCCCAGGTAAGCCCAAGAGTACTATGAATACCTAGTTGATTTTGTTACAGGAATATGCAGAAGTGACTCTTTGTAACCAGTGAAGACAATACTGATAAGGAATTTTCAAAATTAATTTGCTTTTTGGTCTTGCTAGTCTAGAAGCAAGATAAAATTGCTGGAGGTTTATTGGGTACCCTACTCTGTGCTATTACAAACTCTTTGAGTGCTGAGGAGCAAATCCTCAAATGCACGCATCAAACTGCACACTGCCATCATCAGACCCAGCACTCTACTTACAGAGCTAGCAGAATTGCATTTTGCAGGCCTGTACACCAAGATGACACTGGGCCAGCCTGTCTATTTGTGTTTGTTTATTTAATGTCCCTTGGGAAAGACAGGACTTCCTATGGGATATGGCCATGTGAGAAAGGGAAAGGGAGCTGTGTTAAGAAAAACACTATAGATGAGCACTTACTTGACTATTTCAGCTGAACATTTTCAGACAGCTCCCTTAAGTCACAGCTGTTTGTTACAAGTCAGATTATTTTTCCTTATTGAAAGGCTCTATGACAAATCTGAAAGCAGCTTAAATCTTAATGCAATATTGATATATCATTTACATGTTTTGTTTTCAGCAAACTCCAAGTAAGTCAGAGTCAAATGGAGTGTTACTTCTGGAAAACATTACCTGTTAATTTAGTATGGTAATGTGGGAAGTTTTTTCCTGCATGAAAAAAGAAATCCTTTGTGCCAAATGCAGTTAGATCTTTTTCAGGTTTCGTAAGACCAACCAAAACTGAGAACTATTTATGTGAGAGTAAAGAAACCTGTATAACAAGTATCCCATTGTTTTACTAGACAGAGAAACAAGAATTTATAGCAACCTAAGGCATGAATTATGTATCACTTACGGCTTATGTAGTGGTGATTTTGGAGATAAAGGTTTTCCATTATTAAGTGCAAATAGGATACCAGTGGCATTTCTTTTCATGTGGACAGAAGCCTTTGCTATGAATTCTCACCTGAAAGGGCAGTTTTAAATCTGAATTAACATGAAAGGAATTAGCAGTGTTTTGTTTTAACTTCCAAGTGACTTGGGGTTGAGGAAAGAAGTTGGCAACATGTAAAGAATAGCACTACTTCATGTCTGTATTCCCTCCCAAACTCATCTCACAAAACTATCCTGAAAACCAGTGACTTTGGCACTGTACAGTAAGATTTCAATTTACCAAAAACCTCTCAAGTTGTTACTTTCACCAATCTAAATTGCAGTAGGTATTTCAGGGGAAGACTTTAACTTAATTTTCCAACTCTACCCTCAACTAGTGAGGCTACAAAACATTCCACGTTTAACCTCTCGAAAACTGCCCAAATATGTAAATTCAGCAGGGTAAAAGGTTTAAGAACTCCATTTGTTAAAGTACAGTCATGATCTTGCATCTCTGATTCTCCTCCCTTGGAGCATGGGAGGAAAATCCTGTATTCTGTAAACATAAAGCAGTAACGTGGCAATGACAGAAGTATGTTTTTCTTCTCTCCTTTATCTCTGTGACCTTTCTCCCATAGAAGAAAGACTGCACCACAACCTATGTTTTAGATGTAACGTATGCAAAGCTTTATTTCATGACATGCAAGTTAAAACTTGCAGTGATAAAAGCTCAGTTCTTTCCCCTGTGCTGCCCTTGTGATGACACTCAAGCTTCATGGGTGGCTGATAATAATCACAAAATCTACTGTGTGCTCTTTACTTGTTCCTTGAGTCATTGTGCAACACATCAAGTTCACAGCATTGGGAACTTCCCGTAAAACTGCCATCTAATAAGCTACATTTAAAAAGAAATCCAACTCCAGTCCAGTTTGTCAAAAACTCTTTCACAGTTGAACTTTTTCCATGGGAAAAACTACCTAAGGCCCCTTCCTGCTAATTGCAATTCTTCGGTCTGTCTTTAAAGACGCAATATAATGTTTAATTTCCAAATCTACTCAACCTTCAAACATTGAGTTCCTGCTATTTTTCTTTTATTCAGTTACTGAAGTTTACACCACAGCCTCCACCCTTAGCTTTTGCCCAGGAAAACTGCTATTTCTCACTAGTACCTACACGTTAGCACTGTGCTTTTATCGACTTTGCAGAGAGCTGTTATTCTCTTATAGTCCGACATTTGAGACTTAACGAAATAAATAAAACTAGGGACACAATACATGGACTGCAAAGTTACCTTTTCTGCCCCATTAATTTCCTTGTCCACTTTATCACATAAACCAAGGCAGGTGTTTCAGGCAGGTGTTGGGAAGTCCCTTTCGATGGGAAGAGGAAAAACAAGAAAGGGTGAAAAGAAAACCTGACAGCCACTGCTGCAACCTGTACCTGTGAAATATGATGCACAGCGATAAAACGCAAATAGAAGCAACTGATTTTCCACACTTACTACTGTTAAGAAATGCCTTTTAGATGTCGTGTTCAACACAGGTGTTGAATGTAACGGCACAGTGAATGTGGACGGTGAATCCTCCTTCCTTCAGCCTCAAAACCAAAAAGGAATTCCATCTCTTGTGGAACAGAGTTCTGATCCTTCCAGATGCACAGACTACTTCATTGCTGGAGACCCGTTGGAGACTTCTTCAGCAGCTTAGACATAGTCAAATGATGAAAAAACATGATCCACCAGGACCTCTGTCACTGCTTGCAGTTACTGAAGAATCTGGAAGTTTTTACAGCTAGACGTCTGTCATTGCTTGCAGTTACTGAAGAATCTGGAAGTTTTTACAGCTAAATCAGTGGTTCAGTTTAAAATTTGAACTATCAGATACAGGCCTTGCTTACTAAATAAAGAGGAGTATTATGGGACACCTGAAGTCTTCAAAATGCCCTCTTCAAGGTTGTTCAGGAATACCATCCTCTTTTAGTACTTGGTAGTTTCTGAGAATTGTGCATAGTTGTAATTCTGAGGAGCACAAAGATAGCTGAACACTTCACACCGATGAAACTCTTTAGAACTATGGACACTGCAAACCTTTAATTTTATGCATGCAGTTTCACAACCTAGTATCCAAACGCATATTAGCAATTTGCTCACCACATAGCCATGAAAATCATGATTCTGCATGTGAATATGCTCCGAAAAGCCATAAATCAACAGAAACACAGGTTTAAAAATTTTCAATATTGAAATTTATTTCAAACTCAGGGGTTAAGCGTGGTAAATTTCCAATGGTCTGATAATGGCACACCCATGTCGCTATTGCGGAAATTGCACTAATTCCCTCTGCCCCCCTCCCCCTTAGAAATCTGGTTAGTTTTAACATCCGGTGGTTTTGCAAATAGTGTGGCTCTAGGACACTACTGCATTTCCTGAGTGTTCAAAGCTACTGTATTATACATTAAGCTGAAGGAAAAACAATGAAGTTATTATTCAGAACTAAACCAGCTATTTTACCTTGCTGCTGAAGTACGGAATCATAAAATGCAATGTATTTTAACAGGAGACAGTTTGGGAATGCCTGGCGGGGGGGGGGGGGAAGGAAAACCCAACTTTTTATAAAAAGCCATTTTTTTACTTCAACTTTAAACTAAATAGTTTTACACTTCAAGTCATTAACATCCAAACTATTAAAAACGGCCAAAGAACTTACAACTTGCTCAGATTGAAATGTAGTTGGGACTAAAATATCCATGTCGGTATTCTTTGACCTTTTAGGGTATTCCTAGTGGCTCTAACAAAAGCAGCACAACTGTCTCTGGTTTGTGTTTATCTTTTTAGTGCTCTTGAAAATGAGTTACTAAGAGCACTGACCAGAGTGCTTAAACATAGGATTTCAGACTATTGCCTTGCAACACACTTCAGCTTATTGTGCAAAACCCAATGTAGTCATAAACATCCCCACATTTAACACAATAAATTGTGCCAAGTATGTGATGTGAATGTCAGCTAATCCATCAACACATTGACAAATGTCAGCTTGTCTATTCAAGCATTGCTCGAGCCCAGGGTAAAATTTCATTTGTCACAACTGAACTCCTCCACAGGCAGACTGCATAGTCTATGTTAAGTTACTGGGTTTTGTCCAGAAAAATCTCTTCACAGCTGTATTTACATTGGCAAACAGGTTTAGAGGAGAGTTTCAGCCCTCTAAATTCACCATTAGTTAGTAACATCAGTAGAGGTCCCACCATCTGTTAGTGGGATTTTTCCATGAAAGACCACAACCACTTCTTGATCAAAACAAAGCTGAAGCAGTGGCAGCTGATGGAAATACTTAACCATGTTTTTCTAGCATAATTTTTATGATGCATTAGATTTATTGTCATTTACAGATGATTTTGGCAGAAGAGTTCTTCAGGCTGCAGCTGAACAAAAAGCAACTTCTTGTCTCAAGTTTAATCTTTTTTGTTTGTTTGTTTCTTTACGGAAATTTGTTTTGAACAAAGAGCTGATAGTCTAGGCAACTACCAGCAGGAACTACCAAGAGGTGATGTGTTCCACTCTAGTATTATGTCAGTGGCTTGCCAATCCTTTTCCCCTAAAATATTTGTAAAAACATTGGAAATACCTATGAAATTTATAAAACAGCTCCTTAAACATCTGCTTAATGCCCTTTCCCTCAACTATAAAAGACCTCCACATTTCAGGGTCTTTTTCTGTGGATACAAGAGAGAGATCGAGGAAGAGATAAAAGATAGGATAACTATCTTTTCACTCATTATGTTACAAAATTTAAATGACCACTACTCTAAAGATTAAATACAGACTTTACATAACCAATCACAACAATGGAAATAAACCATAACTGAAACCATATAAAATCCTTATCAGTTCAAGTGACAGTACATTAGTAATAGCCTTATAGGTTATACAGAAGATAATATACAGATTCTAAGTTATTTTTCCCCTCAAAAGCCACTGTCAGTATGATCACAGTCTTACTGTACAGACAAGTGACTTGAATATTTGTAAATGCTAATAGGGAAAATTAAAGTTATAAAAGAAAAATGTATCAAGTACACCTTTAGACATGTCTATACTATGATTTAAATTAAAAGCCCTAAGCATTACCCTATACACTCCACTTTCAGCCTAAATGGAGTATCAGTGTTAGTATACAAACCTCAGAGGGCACTGCTAATCTAATTAGTGTAACTATGCTAAAGCTATCTTACAAAGGAGATTAAGTTCAGATGTTTAGAAACCTTAACAATAACAGAAAGTTAGAAACCCTAAGCAGCTACTCATATTTAACTATAATTACCTTTTAAACAGCATTTGACTAAACTCCAGTATTTTCTATGGTCACTTACTAAAAGAAAGTTCTACCACACCTAAAGGATAAGGCATAGCCATCTACTAATTGGCATATTTGTTTATTTATCTCAGTTTGTGAAAAGTTCCTTATTTGTGTAAGCAGCAAAACAAATTTCAACTGAATGATTGCTATATGCAAAAGGACTGAAGGCAACTGCCTCTGCAGTGAACTTTACAGTTCTCAACAGCACACACGCAACATGCTATCTGAAAAAGTTACTAACTGAACTACATGTATTAAATACTGAAAAAAGTTTTACATTTTTTATTATAATTTATTTTATTTAACAATCTAAGAAGTTTGCAGCCATCAGAAGTTCCAGTGCAATTTCAGGTGCAATTGGGAATTCAGGAATCTCCGTAGAGCTGTTAGTATAGCGGACCTTGTAGGTGAAATACATGCACACTTTGGATAGGACATGGGATGGGATCTCTCTAAAATTCACCTCATTTGTTTCATTTTCTGCAAACTGTCCTGTAGAAAAAACCAAACCAAAACAAAACACCAAACCAAAAGTCAGACTCTCAGTTCACTGCAAGATGAAATGCTTTACCATGCGAATATAACACATTCTAAACAGACTTGTGTTAGTCCCATATTCCTAGATATTCAGCATAAAGCAGGATGTGCTGCATTTACAACCCTCAAGAATATTAAGATCCC